ATGCCTTTGTTATGCATGGTGAAAAGGGACCAGAAAACATCATGAGGATAGATGCCAAAAAAGATTTGGGCATCTGGGTCTCCTCAAACTTGTCCTTCTCACTGCGCCATGAGAAATCGGCCCAAAAGGCACTCGCCATTTTACGGATGACCCGACGCACCTTCTCCCGTATTACTCTCATGGACTTCCAAATACTCTACGGGGCCAACGTCAGACCGCTCATGGAGTACGCTAACCAAGTTGTCTACTCAGGACGTACGAAAGACTTCACCCTCATTGAGCGTGTCCAGGGGGCCGCCACTAGAATGGTTGCCGGCCTCAAATCCGTGGATTACGAAACGCGTCTCGCGACGCTTGATCTCTTTCCCCTGGAGTACCGTCGCCTCCGGGGGGACCTAATTCCTACTTAAGCCGTGTTTGAACAAAGCTTGGCAAACATGTTTTTTACCGTTGACCCAGCAAACACCCGGGGGGACATAGTAAGAAAATTTTCAAGCTCAGGACACACACATTCATTAGACAATTTTTTTCATTTCGGGTAGTAGCTGCGTGGAATGACCTTCCTCCGACGGTTGTACACGCTTCTTCTCGAACCCAATTTAAAGCACTATTAGACATTTATTTATGCGAATCCTCGCGCTGGCAAGCATACTGCCCCGCGCTGAGAACATAAAGAGCAGTGCTACACCCGGTTTTTCACTTGTGCCTTTCAGGTGAACGACAGCTACTGACCGACAAGAACAAAACCGACCCGAGAAACTTGGGCAAAAGCCTCATCCTGTGTATCAATCCGTGAATCCGTGAATCCGTGACTTCCATTGTGCGAATACTGAGCGCTTCTCAGCATCGGCCACATGAATGGCGATGAAACATGTTCAAGCAGATGTCTAAGTTCGGTGAAAAGGCAAACGACCACCCACTTAGCACAACCCAGTCAGCAATATTTCCTTATATTTCCAGTTTCGGCTCCCCACCCGCATGCGTCTTCGTCTAACCCATCAGATTGTTTAACTGAGTGAGTTTTTCTATGCCCTATAGCGATTGTGTGAGCGCTAAATCGTCTTCTGTTGTAGACGAAATATGAAATTGGATTTGAAGAAAAAGGTAATATTTCCCCTAAGTATTTCGTTAAAAGTGACAGAGGAAAAGCCAGGCAGATGGAGAGGATGCAGAAGTAGTTTTCAGAGAAGAATTAGATGAATTCGGACTAAGATCTGTTATCAAACCAGATGACCAGCTTCAGCTTACAGAACAGGTGGGAAACTATTGAAAAGTGATGCCTTTAGGAACTCAAAGAAGAGGTGACACGTGTCCTAACGGCAACCAATCCACATGCACCTCAAAACATCGTTCGATTCAATTTCAAAGTAACCTTAAATGAGCTTTGGAAACCCGCACCTTTAAGGATTGCCAATATCGCCAAATTTCTCAAGTAGACCAAGCCTCGGTGCACTTTTGGCATGAAGGTCATATGTTGCTGAAGGATTCTGATGAAGGGAGACGCCAAATGGCAAGGGATGGTACACTTCCTATTGCAGGTAACAGAATGGCAAGAACTAACTCTAATTTAAAGGGTCCGTTGAAGAGGATGCAAACAAAGAGGTACATAATGACTTGTAGTAATTCATTTTAAAAGGGTGCGCTTGTTGAAACTGCTGAAGGCGTGCAACCGAAGAAATTAACCAATCAGTTCAATTTTTGTGAGCGTTCTACTCAGACTTACAACAATCCACATCGAGTGAGCACGAAAACGTGTCGCTGTATTATTTGCAGGAAAGGGGAAATATGACGGAACCTCCGCCAAGAGCCACATTCTCTGCTAATGTGACTCAGTGGATCATTTATGACGACTATGAGGCCGATCAACAGAAGTTGGTAAGGTTAGAGAAATAGTCTGGCTAACCCTTACAAGCAAGAGAAAACCAAGGAAAAAAAGGTAGCTGGTGCACAAAAGTATGAGGGAAAACAAAAGAAGAAGTCTTCACACGCCGACACTCTCGTAAGTCAGCTGTCTTGAGTTGTTCGTTCAATGATTAGAGACGATGCATAAGAGGATATCCAAGGAGACCAAAAAGTTTAAGGCATTCTGCTGTACCTAAATCATCTTCTCTACTATCAAAATGAAGTTTCAAAAAGTAATTAGGTCAGATGGCATTTTTTCAAAGCTCTGCCGAATCCTTGCAGACATCAGACTCGTGCTCTCCATAAAGCTCGAGGAGAATTTTATTAATACCGTTCATGCGATGTTTGATTTTGAAGGTGCAGCTTACTGGGACAGGTTATGTTCAGTAATGCAAGAAACCCACCCAGTCTTTCGTCACAATTATGGCTTATAATTCGGATGCTACAACACTAAGCGCATGATCCAACAACAACCCACACCATTTATTCTAGCAGGATTTGCCCAACAACCACATATGTACACTTGGTGAATATGAACCAAGGCTTATTAACCAAGATAATCAGGTTAAATTTGTAAAAACAATCGTACGGAACGTCATACAGTAGACTACGAGAGGCAGAACTTAAAGTTATATATATAAACGTACACAATACATCTGAATCTTTATTGGATATGGACTATATTTGTCATTTGTTGAAGTAATCGATTGATGAGAGTCAGAATCCTCAGGTGAAAGCGAGCAGTCTGCATGTCCTAAAAACCCTTTGCTACTGGAATTCCAAAAAGCTGAGTTCTAAAACATACGAAAGAAAAAGATGCTTGAACGAATTCTCTGCTCAAAAAGGAAGTGCAAACCACAAGCAGCACAGGCTGGTGGCACTACAGCGGTCTGAACATATTCCATATGCATATGACCATTTTGAGTATGAACTAACTGTGTATCTTAAGTCCAATTTATCTACGTGGTACAGGTAACACTAAATGAGGACGTCAAGCATAAGCTAGCAGTATTCTAAATTAGCACAGTATCTCGTCTATCGTATTGCCGTAGAGTCCTCAACAGCGTTTAAGTCATTCATACCGAAGGACGGGATGACTTTGATCAGCCCATCCAAAGACACACGTATCTTCGCCTCCTCTTCTAACATGAGAACGGTTTCGTTTGCATATTACAGATCAACAAGATTTTCTTCACAGGCGTTTTGATCACCAGGGTTTTGGAGACCCTTTGGCGTTTGTCTCATTATTTCGTCGAAGTTATTTCATCGAAGTTAAAAAGGAATGGAGAGAGTGGGGATCCTTGACGGACACCGCTTTGTGTAGTAAAGCTTTTGGAGAGCACTTCGTACACTCTCACACGTCCGAAAGCCTGAGAATACAAAGGACGTATTATGTTTACAAACTTCCGGGGCATTCCTTGGTGGGCAAGCGTCTCAAGAAGGACAGATCGATCAACCGAGTCGAATGCGCCTCGAAAATCCAGGAATACTAAAATTGTGGGTTGCTGATACATTTGGCGCTTGAAAACTTACAAAGGTCTGGAGACAGGGGTATCCACTGTTGAACTATTGTGGTGGGGCGTTGGCTAATAAACTGGGTTTTTTCTTTGCCAATAACACTAGTAGCTCTGTTTGCACATCTGTCGGTAAGCTTACATATCAAGTTGAGGAATACGATTACAAGCTTTTGTCAACAACTGAAATGATATTGCCAGTTCAGTGTTGCGAATCAGAAAGGTGCGGTGCATCCACGGTGGTGCGCTAAGTAGTTGTATTCATATGGCTCTCTAGGCACAGCTAGGGTGGTGCTGAAGTTTGATTGTGATTGGTTGTTAGGTTGTGTGGCGGCATCAATGACTTAGCTTTAGCTTCTCTTTTATTTATTTAGGAAGCCGGTATTTTTTTAAATGTCAAAAAACCGCGAAGGGTTTTCTTAAATACTTGGACCAATTTTTGAGTATCTTTTCGGGTCTTACATAAACGGGTTTGAGGCCACTAGCATCTAGACTGAACGACGATGGCCAGTGTTGTATTGATATACTGTCATAGAAGTTGATGCACCATGTTTGTGTAATGCACCATTCTTCATCCACTGTGAACAAATCAAACCAATATCTTGGGGTTCTCAAGCAAACTAATCTGCTTTTTCATTACCAGATGTAATGGCTTTTACAGTAAACATCTGGTGAAACTGGTTTCTTTACTTGTGGAACTGATCAGATCCTAAGTTTTCTACGCTAACTAAATGAGTCTTATTTGAAAAATTTGCTGTTTGTTTGTTGCTCGGTATTTCATCGCGTGCAGGTTTCACTTAATATGAAACACACTGTAACTTTGTGTTTTCAGTCCACCTGCATCATTATCACTTGTTGGGCAATAAAGTTAAGATTCTACGACAAACTGATACCAAAAATGTTCGTGACTCGTCATTGTTTGAAGAAGGTATTGTGAGAATTGCACATTCTTAAGACCAGTCGGTGTGCTTGCACGCTTGATGTCCCGCCTTTCTTCGAATTCCTTGACTAACTGCCCTGCAGGGAACAAAATGCTCTGCGGCGGGGCAGCAAATCTGGATCCATTGATAAACCTGAATTGGCGTGATTAAACCAGTTAGAGTTTCCAGCCTATTAGATGACAGATCTGATGCCCCGCCGCAAAGCATTTTGTTCCCTGCAGGGCAGTTAGTCAAGGAGTTCGAAGAAAGGCGGGACATCAAGCGTGCAAGCACACCGACTGGTCTTAAGAATGTGCAATTCTCACAATACCTTCTTCAAACAATGACGGGTCACAAACATTTTTGGCATCACAGTTTAAAGGCTAAAGTGACAGTATCTTGGTGTTATTCTGCGTGTGAATCCAATGAGTATTAGATTTATAATAATGTCAGCGAACACACTTAGTAACCAATATTAAGTTAGCTTTGATCGCAATTATTTAGTAGTTGCTTGCAATAAGTAATTGTGTCCTTGGAAGGCCATATTTGCTGTTGAAGTGATTTGCACTGATAGTGTGATACGGTTTTCTGATGAGAGGTTGTAAAAGGAACCCAAATGATTGAAAGTGACCATGCCATAAGCCAATCCACTCTCTGGCGCGTAGTACACAAGGATTAATAATCTGATAAAAAAAGTTGCACACTTCCATGCGTGCATATGTTTTTAGGCAAGAAATACTTCGAAACGTCTCTCAATAATACTGCTTTGTCCGGAAACCGTGAATAAAGATACACCTGCTCGCTGCACAATGTTCACCTCCTATGATTTCTTCCTTAAACAAAAAGGCTGCTTATTGACGTATCTTTAGATGAATAAGACTAGGTAATGTTCAATCGTTCTTTGATGCAAGAACTACCGTCTACTTTCACCTAGGCTGGTAACAATTGCGTCAAAGATTGCGAGGAATAAAATAAGGAGGGAGGTCTGTTTTCGTACGGATGACAGATTACGCAAATTCAAACCTAAAATCTGTCAGTACAAAACACAGCAAATAATCTTTCTCTCACAATATTTTGGTTTAAGACAGGAACAGTGTACACTTTCCGCTAAGTGGAGTCAAGCAAAATGCATATATGGTCACAGTCGTCACAATCCTTGATCTTATAAAAACAGACAAACCTGAAGGTAACATCCAAGTATGGTCCCTCCATGTTCACACAGAACAACTTTTGATACACACATGCAATTTTAAGCAGCACGACCATAAAGTTGAACTGAAAGCCTCATCACCTACACATTCACTCCTGGCTTGTGAGGTTCAACCGCCGTTAAAACATCTAAAGTCAACTGTTAAGCAGTGAGTGAAATCTAGTGACCAGCGATAAAGCAATCCATTGAAAAACTGTTATGTTTTCGTTAAGCTGAACCTCACACAGAGAGAATTAAAACAATGGTATCCCTTTTTTTTAAGATATTATCTGGAAAACGTAGCTAACAATCAATGATGATGTTCGGTTTTTGGAAGAAATTCAGCCGTATGACACAGGTATCACTAAAGGTAATTCAAACAGGCTAGTCTGAATTTCAGCTGACTGAGGCTTTGAGAGAGGAAATATCCTTGTTTCAAACGAGTTAAATAAACCATCGATTCCGTTTTATTGCAGTCTTGTACCATGAACGTTTATAATGCCTGAATTGTCTGCTGGGGATAGAAAGAAAGAACATTGGACATGTTCTCTGCTCTTGGCAATGTTGTGGAATATAGATAGCTCGGGTGCATTGCATGGCTTTTGTCTGTTCGCCGAGCTTGTCATTAGGATTACAAACATCTCATCATCAGTCGAGGTGAAATCGTCAGTGCGAGGTTGAGTGAATCCCTTTTTTCTCCACAAAATATTGGTTTGAGTAGCTATAATGTATTTCTCACAGCACTAAGTGAGATGCATTTTCTGACTTGCATTCTGATGACATTGACTGTAGTTGCCAATCACATACGATTATCCATTTCAACAGAATGACGACCTAAGTCGGTTCGCTCAACCAATCAAGATTTTAGAAAGAATGATTAATCAGAATACTCATGATGAAGTGGCGCAGGACTTCAAATATTACGAAGATCCTTCAGATGAATACCGGGACCAAAATGGAACCCTTTTACCCTTATGGAACTTCGCTTTTGAAAAAGCGAGAAAACTAGCCGTGACAGCACTATGCTGGTCACCACGCTACAATGACTTGTTCGCAGTTGGACATGGCTCGTGTAAGTTTTTCGTGCAATCACGTTTGGTTTTCCAAATCTGATCAGCACTAACGTCGTTAAACCTTACTTGTTCTCCAATTAGTCCCCGTATTAGTCTTAAACCCATCATAACGTTGTTTGCATTAATGAAAGATTGGGGGCCACAGAAATCGGTAAATGCTGCAAATGGTTCCATTGTTTATCAATGGAGTTCGTATGTGCGGAAATAGGCCCCTTAACTGAGTACACTGTCAGACTCTCCTGGACTAAGCTTGTTGTGAAACCCCATTTAACACTTCGGAGTCAACCCCTGCTTTGTATTCCCCACGCTCATCTAGACAAGAAGTTGAGTCCCAGACTTCGTCCCCTGTTATTGATTGCTAATCGGTCTAACTATGATCTCTAATGTTTACTATGGATACGATCTGTAGAAAATCGCTTCTAAAATTCCCTCATAGAATCGATCGGTGAAATCAGCGTCTGTTGCAGCCGCAAATGACTGGAAACTCAGTGACAAAAACTAAGTCGATGAATATAAAGCTCCCAGTGTCTGGATTCAAGGAATATCATCTACGGCGTTTCTCTGTAATGCACCGTTTGTCACTTTTATTTTGACAGCTCGACTTTACTGTTTTCTTTCAGGCCAAAGTTTGGTCGATAGCCATTCCTAACTATGGTGTATCGCACAATAAAGTAGAAAAGTCCAGCTACTACTGAAGTAATACTTAAAATGCGTATCAGCCACTACTGGATTGTCTGTGGCCACTGTCTGAAAATCTCAACTACACACCATCTTTGCCCACTTCTGGGTATAGTTTGTAGGCCAAGAGGGCTTGTCCAAGGGACTCAGCTGCATCAGGCAAGAAAAATAGGTATATCCTCATTAAGGGCAATGGAACAAAAGAAATCCGCCAGTTGTTTGGTACCAAGTGGTCTTAACTGTCTACGATGGGTAATTAACGTTCACTAGACTATCAGCCCAGAAGTGTTGTAACGCGGAATTTGTTGGAAGTTGTGCTACTTCATTCAAGCAGAGTAGTTTGTAAATAAAGACAAGATTATTGTCACGTTAAGCGCGAGCCGTGTCTCTCCTATTTGAATCTGTTTCCCCGTGATGAATGTTCAATTCTTTTAGTCACACACCATCGCATTCCATGAATTTTAGCGCTCCAGCTTTGAGGCTATTAATTTAATACTCGTTATTTCGTTTGTATACCCTTTCATTTCGCGACTACTGCACAGCCTGGCCTGAGACCAATTGATCTACTTTATAATCGGTCAATATTTTAACTCTGTTGGTATATCGACAAATCTGATTGACGATGTGGTTGTATTCCGATGAACTGATTCTGTTTCAGGGGGTGGTTGCCTCAAAGTAAGCAAATAAGTGAGCATAATCACATTTACATTCCTTTATGAAGATAATCCGAGGAAGCAACTAAACTCAGAAAGAAATTTTCAATTCTACAGAACTTTTCACAGTGAAAACCCTCCGTGTGACCAACACTGGAGCGGGAGGCATCTCACCCTTGGAAAAAACGACCCACATGAGTTTCAAACCTGCTGATTAACATTTTCTGTTTAGGGGGCCAGAAACTTGCACCTACAGCTCCGATCGTACTCACCCGATCCCAGAAGCAACAGGGGATTTAGCTAAACCAAGCTGACGCAGGTCATTCCATTTAGCCCATATTTTACAATACACCAGGCAGTAGGCTTCAGTAAAACCCTTATCTTCCTTTCCATACATGGCGCACAAACTTACACAAAATTACGATTTGTATAACTTCGAATGCTAGGCATACGATTAATTGGTTGTTCATGTTTTTTCATCGGCCTTGGGATTCGTATCATATCAATGAAGGTACTTAGGTATCTTGGTTACCATTTCAACTCAAAATGAAGGTGGACTTTTGTACAAGGCGGTCATCTGAAGTGAATCCTAGACGAAAGCTTCAGTTAAGCCCCGTGTTGACGCCACATTATTGCGCAGTGTTCAAATTCACATCATTCTACTCGTTCAGTCAGCTCAAATGCGTTTTCTTTTCATTATACGTGGTTGAAGGCAAAAGGAGACAGACTGGTTGCTGCAGTATGATACGACAAATTTGTCTTCAAAATGGTGACGCCAGTGGCAGCAGAATGACGGAAATACTCATTCCATTTTAAAGGCAAAACACCTTGATGCATCGTCTACATGGCAATCCAAAAGGTCGGAATAACCATCCATAACTTCCGTGGTAATACAGCCAATAGAAAAGCAAATTTTCGGTGAAATGAGAAAACCTTTTTCTACTGAAAAGGTTCAGTCCACAGTTTGAGCTGCATTGAGTGCAACTAAGCTTGTTTTTCATGATGCGAATCTGGCATCAGCAAAGAAACCTACCTAGAATTTATGCACGGTTGACTTGTATGTCCCATGGATGGCTCTGGTGGTGCAAACAGTGTCAGAGAGATTTTTATCCTTAAAAACGCTTGAAGTTTGCTTGAATTTCTTCATCGACTGAATGGATTAATTTTTCATTTTGTCGAAGAAATTCCATGAGGTCTCATTGAAGATCTATATTGAAGAGTGAGGCACCTGAACAGGGCCGTAATCGCGATGTGAGTTGTATTGAGCTTTGAAATGTCGGCTAATGCCCACGAGTCCCTTCTGTTGTGTTGAGTGCAAGTACTGTTTGGTAAAAACTGAATATCGAGAGTCAAATGGTAGCGCTAAGCAGAAGCACCTTGTAGACACCGACGGTCAGTTATAAGTAACGTGAGGTTAATTAGAATAATATTAGCGGGTTAAACCAACTGACAGTTGGTTATGAGCATAAGCACGGAATTCCGAACCACATGCTTTACGTGGACAAGCCAGAAAATTGTGATATAATTATGGTGCACAGCAGAAACTGACTAATGTTAACTCGAAATCTCAAAGCACCAAAGCCAGGCACAAAAAAGCAGGTGAAAATAAGGACACAGGATTGTGAGGACCAGCGAGGTCAACCGGTTCTTTCTGCAAACATACATGCGGGCTGAATCCGTTGAGTCCATTAGGCAGACTCCAAGATCGGAGAAAAGTGATACCAAAAGATAAGAGGGATGTAGGGCGTAACCAATGCCGAGTCACTTTACTTTGACATCCAGGCCCGCATCTAAATACCTACTTTTTGATATATCAAACGATTTTTTACGGCACCTCCGCATTCGGCTCATATCTGCGTACAAAATATCTGTACCCAGCATTGTGACGATAACCGCTAAACTGTAATTGTAGCACCATTTTGAAAGAACTTTTGCAACACGGTCCAAAACTTTTCAAATTAATTTGTGGAAAAGAGCCGCTAACATTCTTGCTTTCTCGCATTGACCTATCCAACCTTTTCTCTGAAATATGTCGTATATAGTGACCCCTTCAACAAAAAATAACCCAGGGATAGAAGTATGTGGGGTTTACTTCCAAAGAAATAAGTTCGTTATTTTATGAGAAGGAATTCGTTGCAGACTGTTGACACACTGTGTTTCAGGGAAAGTCCTTCTTGAGAAATACACTCATTTGCAAATCAATTCTGTTTTCAAGAGAGACTTGACTGAATCTCTAGTTTATGATATCCTACAACTGAATGTGTTGTACACAGGCCGCCTCATGATTCAGTTGGCACGATATACGAGATATCGCAGTATATTATTTTCATAAAGCAAACTACTCACAAGTCTGGTTGAAACTCTTCGACAGCTCACGACCGGTTTCACCCTTCTTGTGGCTCATCAGGTAGGCGCAGTCCCCGGTCGTGAGCTGTCGAAGAAATTTCACCAAACTTGTGAGTAGTTTCCCTTGTGAAAATAAGGTCCCTTTTGCTTTCTAAATATATACTTTTCACTAATCAGTGACTATCCAACAACTTTCATGTGTGCTGGACAATAGACATATACGGTCTTCTTTTCCATCTTTAGATCGGCGAATCATTCTGGAACAAACACCTTAGATAAGTGCGGTTTTGTGATGTTCGAAGATAGAAAACAGAAGATTGAGCAGAGTCTGAAGTAGCAGTATAAAGTGGAAAGAGAACAGCCCTGATGTTCAGATGCATAATGTCAGAATAATACATAATCCCAAAATGAAGTAGGTGACTCGTCTGCACTGGAAGCCTCATGATTAAATTAAAACTTAACGTTGGGAGCTGTAATTGCTCGGTGTCCCATTAAACCTATGGGAAACGTCGAAGGATCATGTGGAATCAGATCCTATGTTGTGCTCCCTCGAGTGCTGAATGACAAAAGTCGATCAACGCACTGGAGCTGGTTATCGGAGACAAGAAAAAATCAGGATGACTTGTTTTACTGAAAATCTTCAAGTAGTCAAAAACAAGTAACAAAACCAGATGAAATGGCAACATTTACTCCAAAAAATTCAACCGTCCGAGTATTCCTTCTTAACTTCTCATTTATCGCGACGATAGCTTACCTTCGTGACCATAACCGATAGCGGTTGGCTTATTTTCGGCTAACTGTTACTGAGTACCTACCAGAAACAAGCAGTTGCATGTCATCAACCTATTATTTCCACTCCAACTACATTCCGTCCACAGAGGCACTTAATATGTTGCAGTTTGACAGGTCAGTATTAGCAAAAACTTGTCATGGGACAGTTAGACAAATCCCTCACTTAAACGGGCGCCATAGGCTTGGAAAAGTCTAAGTATGATTTGTAAACGGTACTGTTGAAATGAGAAGAAAATACCGAAATTTTCACTTTCTCACGGTACTTCCTCTCCACAGATGACTTTATGAAGCAATCTAATGGACTGATATGTTTTTATACCATGAAGAATCCGGAATATCCGGAGTACATTTTTGAGACGGATTCGGGAGTACTTTCTCTTGATCTACATCACGGCCTGCCGCATATGCTTTGTGTGGGTTTCTACGATGGCTCAGTCGGTGTCTACAACATTAACCAGCATAAAAGTGGCCCACTTTATATGAGCACAGCAAAAACTGGAAAGCACACGGATCCTGTGTGGGAAGTACGTTGGCAACCAAATGATCTCGATGCAAACCTGAACTTCTTCTCGGTCAGTGCTGATGGAAGAGTGACTTCGTGGACGCTTGTTAAGGTAAGTCATGAGCACCACACATGTGGCCTAGGTTCAGCGTCTAGGCATATACTGCAAACATACTTTCCTGTGGAATAAATTCGCATTCCTTGAAGCTTAGCTGTTTCTTCATCCAACGCTTGATATAATAACTGCTCAGTTTGATATGACACTTAGCGTTTGTGGAATGTAACATATTTCGCCCAATTCTGTGCCCCATAATCTTGTCTTTTTTGCTACGAGAAACATTAATCTCTCACCCTGTGACCATTACGTTCAGTGTAGTTTACAACTATCGGTCTCAGGGAAAGTTCGTACTGCTGGTCACTTGTAATAATTATACATTTGAATCAATGCCCTCAAACAGAACGCATTTCACACCGAATTTCAGATTTCTTGGATGCACGATACTTAATCTTTTTTTCATCGCTCTTTTGTTCCCACTTCTAAGTAAACGAGACTTATACGAGCACTGTAGTGTGTACCATGGTACAGTAAACAGTCAGTGCAACTTCTGATAGTGTGTTTGACAACACTCTGACATCAAGTTACAAGCTTGACCAGTTCTACAGAGGTACTCTTCAAGAAATGTTGACAGTTATGAGTAGAACAAGTGAGTGAAGTGTTTTTTGCAAGACAGGGCATAACAAGTGACTACCACTGTGTCCGAACTAACTCGAAGGAAGCCAGCGTAAGAACGAGACGTAAGATGTATTTCGCATACGCTGTGAACATCTATGAGGAGATAAGGAGTCATCGGAATAGAGGTTAGGATGAAGCAGTACTATGCAACCCACAAAACGAAAACCGAAATTCCTTGTCAAAAACAACCTACAAAAATGCGATTCATGAAACTGCAGATTCGCCATGACAACAGCTCCTACTCGAAACACTTGTGTGGTTGACGAAGAAACCTGAGGAGCTGACCAACGCTATTGGAGCATGGTGAACCGAGAGCTCCAGCATCAGGATTACTAAAGTCATGTACTATTCAAGACGCTCAACAATAGTGTTTCGAAGCAAACTTCAGGACCAAAGTCGATCAGATGGCAGGTTAATAAAACCATGGCATTTTACAATACGATAACAAAAAAAATGCGACATTGTAATGCCCGAAATAGGGACTCTTAGTGATGTGCAAGAATAGGTATCAGGAACAGTATTCTTGGGTCTTGCGTTTAATTGAAAATCAAAAACGTAGATCAGGTTTAGGTATAATAAAAAATTAAGAAATGAAGTAAATTGGTCAAAACAGACCGGACAAACTATAAGTCGAGTGTGAGCTTGTCTGAGCATTTTATTGCAACCTGCTCTAAAAGTTGGATCGGTAAACTATGAAGATGGATGTTTCTGATCAGCATTTATCTGACGCGAGACAGTCTTCTCCGGTGAATGCGCCGCGGTGAAATTGATTTGGTTTTCACCTCATCGGTTTACCACCGACCACGTCAAGCCTTAGTAGTACAGACAGAAAGTTCAAACAACGGGATTTCGCACAACCTGTGTAAAAAAGCACTGCAAAGCACTAGCCGATGCCTTATCACCAGACTGGTGATCAAACTTTTTGAAGTAAACAACGAATTGCTTGATAGCTTTAAAATTCAGGAATGTCATATTACTGAAAGCAACTAGTGAATGCCCGAAATCTACTGAGACCATCAGCTCCGCCAGATGTTGACCAGACAACGTCCCCGCAATATGCAGAGCGACGCAGTCTCGCACCAAAGCCAGACAGCGTGCGTCGGCATTGGACCAAGTTCAGACAGTTTCCCTCCAATAAATAGCTTGAGACCGTCGTACTTTTGGCACTCGCACGTACGCACGATCTAGCACTCGCCTGTTCGACTGTTGTGTTCCCTTCCGTGAGTCTTTTTTTCCGGCATTAGGCACTGGAGCGGGTCAGCAACCAGATACAACAGATTGGCGAATCGGCAGGTATGACAGTTCTAGAGAAACAACTCTGAGCCTAAAGGGTAAAATCGAACATTATTATAAAATCCTGAATTTGCATTCAGGAATAAGAATACTGAATGGAATTAGAGCACGCACCAAGCAGTGCCTCCTAAAGTGTGGCTTGAAAGGATAATTGAGTTCACAGCGAACAAAGATTTTTCATCACTGTCATCTACAAATAGCGGGTTCGCCCACTTCAGCTGCGGGAACTCATACTAAATCGAGGAGACTTTTTCGCGATGAATTCATGCATATGCATTCATAGTGAAACTGTTTATGTTTGGATGTCAGTATGATTCACTGAAGGAAAACCATGTCCAGAGAAATATTTGCAACTTCTAGAAAGAATTGAGTTGTCAATGAATGTTCTCCTGTGCAGGACAGTCCATAAAATACATATGCAAGGCACGAAATCTTGATTTTCGAAGATAAAGTGACATCTCAAATTATTTCATGTTACCCGCCACATATCAGTTCATCTCAGATTTGATTCGGGTGAAAAACTAGTCAGCATTTTTACTCAAGGTTTACACCGTTCATTTGAATCATACCGAATTTGTCAGCAACATCTTCACTATCTGAGACCCGATCCTTCGAGTCCCGGTAGTTCCATACTCTGAATCTTTTTGGTTAACAAAAGTTCGCAACGCTTTACTGCTCACAGAATGACCTCTCTCTACTTATGTCGGCCGTACCTGAGGATGGACATGTCGATGCAGACACTACAGACGCGTTACCTGTGTTAGCTTACGTGACACCACTTGGGTCGGACTTGCACTGCCAATCAGCTTTCGGCATACGCCTAGAAACGGTTCATCATCGCTAGTGGACCCACAAGATGACGTTCAGAGCACTTACCTGCAATATGCGACTAAATCCCTTTCTCGATATTTGAATAGTCTATCAGCCATAAACACCGCAACCAGTTCACAGTTGATAGCTGTCGGTGATCATAACACTTTGCTGTTGTCCTCATCGTTACCATATGAAATTGCCACATTAAGTCTGCTGTGAGAGTGCGGAGTTTTACTTCCTGCAGAGAGATGATTCCACCGAAAACCCTTCAGTTACTGCTCACGTGATTTGCGAACCACCCAGTACTTCCTGATGTGTGAGTAATAAATAGTGACTTCACAAACTGCTTTGGTCTTCAGTGTCTTGTCGGATCTTGCCGATCTTAGAATGTAACGACTTCATCTTGCTTAAAATCCGCAAGTAATTCCACTATTCGTAACGAAGAAAGAAGCAGTCGGAAAAAGTAGCGAAATTCCGAGTGGACACTGCATTGCCAATAGACTGCTTTGAGTGCGAATGCCAGGACGCGCCCAGACATGGGAAAAGTACATGTGCAGAGAGTGACACATCCCAAAGGTCAAAATCGGTATGACACGTCCGGAAAGCAGGTGCGTTGGCGGAGCTCACTAAACACGGCTTAGCAACATATGACTTGAAGTTGTTCACGACCGGAACACTACTATTGGCTGTACAGAACGAACAAGTGAACGACCATATTTGGCCATTTAGTCATCCTATATATTTGCGCAGAAGTTCTGACAATACAGCAGTGTCCCGAGTTATCTGTCTTCTCCTTATCGTGTAGTCTGGCAGGCTCAGTGAAGGCCTAACCAATAGACGGCCACCCACGATACAACAGTGAACCTAGGCCAAATTTCCTACGGACCGTCTGGTCGTCTCAGTTTTGATTCGTTCTGACATTATGTCTGTCAATATTTGTCTTCCTGAAGAAAGTAAGTAAACGCCACATGATGGTGGTTGCAGTGTCGCACAAACTGCGCACCAATCCCCTATTTGCAAACCAAACGGTTCGTGCGACTGCTTCAGGTGAATTCCTAAAAGTAGGATCTATCTTTTATATAACCAAAAGGCCTAACATCGACTATCATCGGGAGCAATATAAGCCGATTCAAAATAAAAAAGTGACAAACGGTGCATTACAGAGCAACGCCGTAGATGATATTCCACTTTTTGCATCCAGACACTGGGTGCTTTATACTCATCGACTTAGTTTTTTGTCATTGAGTTTCCAGTCAATAAGGATAAATCCGCTTATCGTTATTTGCGGTTGCAACAGATGCTGATTTCACCGATCGATTCTATGGGGGAATTTTAGGAGCTATATTTTAAGGTGATAACTCATTTGAAACTGGCGTAGAGCGGCTGTACTACTTCTACTTGGGAGCTCCATTATATGACATTCACAGCACAAAATTAAGGTGTTGCTGTCCTTGGGTCTCCAATCAGTCCTCCATTTTACGGTTCGAAGCAGCCGCATTTTAGCTGATTTATGCAACGTCTTCATAGTGGACCTGGCTGTGATGTTTGAATATGAGTAGTGGAAGCATTCTTGACTACAGTGTCAGCCGTAAGTAGGTATCATTGAATTACGAGGCACCATCTGTTGAATTTTTAAGAAGCCACAGGCGATATCACTAGAGTACAGTACTACGGATTTAACCAGTTTCTTCTAAACCGTTACAGTCGGTAATTCACATTGTCCGAGGCCCGGTTACATTCAGTGAATCGACCCATTTAGTCATTATCTCCAAGGTCATTCACTCGGCATGTTCGGAGTAGAATTTCGCTGCCCTTGCGCTTCAAAGTACAATTCTATCTTTAGCGGTTCACCAGTTGTATGTTTACCATCACGTCAGGAACAGCAGATTCCACCTGTTGTAGATAATCGGAATAGCAGTGCAAAGTGACCAGAATTCATAGGTTGACGAACATTTTAACCCATTACAGGCTGTCTGCATGTCGGTTCAATTTCTTCCATTCTTCATTAGGTACTTGTGTTCCAAATTCGATAGCACATCTGGCTTTCTACACACCGTTTTTCATTAAGAAACTAAGTAACTGCACCTGCTGGTTCAAACATGACTGGCCAAATATTCATATGTGGTGTCCGAGCTCCACTTGTGCCAAGTCAAATAACTAACTATGTATATTGTAAGTTAACCGTAGTTGCCTAGTAGCTCTAAATGACTGGCTGGGTTGAATCCTACATCTATTTCATGCCTTTTACTTATGATCTTCATTTTTCCTCTGGCCTACAATGCATCACCACATAGGTTATTCGTTCTTTCTGATGGGACGTTTTCACGGCCAATTTCGGTGATCTCATGCTGGTTAAAATGTGCTCTTAAATAAAGCATCTTTCCTCCCGCAGAACTCAGCTCAGAAACCAAAAAGTAACCAGTGGCATGCCTATGTGTGCTTTTCTTACGTGTACTCCGTTGTTGTTATTGTCACCTGCTTGTCTGATGGAGGTTTTCTCATTATCCTCAGTATGTCTCAATCAAAGAAATAAACATTGGAACACCTGAATTTTGTGAGAATAACCATCAACATCAATAACATCAACATCAACAACCGACTGTTCCCCTAGAAATGCTGCTCGTCCTGGTCTATTAGACGCTAACACGCTGGAGCTGTTTTAGAACCTTGATATGTCCTCTTCGGAGAAAATCAAATATATTCCACATGATAAGGGTAGTATTACTTCTTTCATGTACCTTATACCAGTCCCGCGAGCAGGGGCGTGTCCTTGAGTTCTTGAATCCAGATATATAATAATCAGGTAAAACCCCATTGACAACTTTGGGGAACGAAAATCTCAGTGACAGCAGGATATGTCAGTATATTCGTCCAAAAGCTGAAGTAGAAAATGGCAGTGACCTCAACTCCAGGTCGATCATGCCGCCTTACAAAATAGCAGACGAACACTGTAGTATAGCCGAAAATCACCAAAGTATTGTCTCCAATGTACAAGCGCAGTTACTTATGCTGCGGAATAAATTTTGTGGGCAGGTGACATCATACCTGAAGATTTTTACCTTGAGGTACCTCGTGATACCCACGATTGTAACGTGATACCGCTTATCGAGATCGTCCTCCTAGTTACTCAAGCTCAATGATTATAAACTACTCTCCGTTGTTCATTTTTCGTTTGTCGTTTCTATTACGTTTAACACTGTGCTACAGGAAGGTGTGGGCTCAATGCACGAATGTCCAGTGAGTAGAGCGCTACTCTTCATGTTTGATTGTTGAATCGTTGTTGTCCGTTGGTTTTGTATACTTAGTTTTGAATAAAACATGACAAATTGGGATTATTCTTACTTCTAGAATGATATGGGTCAGTTTGATGCGCTTGTTTTGAAAATGGTCACGAGTTCGGGTGACAGTTCAGAGCCATCACAGCTCATCACTCTGGGTAAGTCACGTCCAATTTGATCATCCAACTATTCGCAGCATGAAAAATTAGCCTTGTGATATCAAAGCTAACAGCAAAACCTACTCACCAAAGTGACCTGACTTTACAAATTTACTCAGTGAGCCCAAACCAGGTAAAAACTCATAACTAGGTGTGGTTTCCAGGACTGAGTACAGCTTGCTTTTTTGAAGTAGATCGGTTTTCCGAACTTAGCAGATGCAAGTGGCCTACAACTGGATCGATACAACTGCACAACCTTTCTAAATAGGCTTCGCTTGAAATGCACGTCATGCAGATGAGACCAGGTGTGATATCAGACGTGTACTCTTTGGTAAAACATCTCCCTCTATACCAACACCATCTTATCATTATCAGAGTCGTCAAAGATCGTCATCGTTACCATCCATGGTAAAAACGGAAGCACCTTGGATGTTAGTAGCGGTTTGCAACGCAGCAGAACTACAAACAAAAGTTTGGTTTAAAAGAACATATTTGTCATCGAGATGTAGTCCTAATAAGTTTCTCAAAAGCCCTCCGACTATCCACGACCGGTGTCACTCCTCTTTTGGACTAATCCTTCAGGTGCATCCTCAAATTCCTATCAGTCTTGTTCCGCATTCGAAAACCAAATCGGACACACGCGGAATTAACCCATCATAAGCAGATTATTGTGGCGCTAACGGGAATGCTCAAATGAGTCTCATATGCCATTTGATTTATTGTGACCGAACATTTTGATCGGAGATGGCTGTATGGACCATTTGACGCGATATCCAAGATATCAAAGAATTTTTCCTTGATGCATGACAACTTAGAACGTTTATGAGAACCTTCGATCGTCTACTTTAGGTCCAACAATTTGTGGCTCCAGAGGCAGTCTTAAAAAGGGATCGTTGGCAAGAATCCCGTCACCAAAACGTTCATGCCGTTCAAACTGTTTAGAAACATTCTGTTTGCATACCATGGTGCCAACAATGAAAGTGGTCATAGTGACAGAATTAAGACAACCTTGTCATTCTGCTTCAGGACCGTGTGTTGACCCTAACAACGCAAAATCTATAGGTTGAAAAAGCAACGTGGCGCCGCTGCGAAGTTGTTTAAATGAATGAATTACCCAGACACACATCAGTTGGCAACCACTGAATATGAAAATTGTGAACATTTGAATCATCAGAACCAAAAAAATGGTGATCAAAATGTTTCGCATATTCCCTGAAGATGAGAATGGCGCCCCACAGATTTGTGTACTTGTTAAATACCGGGTTTTTGACCCTTTACAGATGACAGTGACCTTCCTACCCAAGCCAAAAGCAACGATTATAAAGGTTTTCTTCTTGTTTGAAAGCTTTGCTAATAGGCTTCTGTTATTGCAGATTATGACGAATCTGAATAGATTCAAGTAGGTAACTGATTATATTTCCCATTAATGGAGGCAGAAATCACCAGCACATTTATGATGGCGTGTCTCCAAATGCAGATGATGAAACGGACACACACAATTAAGGCTGTGCCAGCTACGACCAAGATTGTCTTATGTCTAAGCAGTGTCATCCTTCACCGATTTGCCGTCCATTCAGTCATATGAAAACGCAATCACACCTTATTGTCTACCTGGCAGTTTGTAGGCTATTTCACTCAATTTTGATGAGGTCTTATTTAGCAATAAAAGTTCCTTCCCACGACCAGTAGAAATTCCAACTGTTTTGTGAATAAGCTTTTTCGAGCGGGTTCAACACACAGAGAATTTCCACACGGGTGGAAGTTTTGTTGAATTACGAGCATCTTTTTATCCGTACCATTTAAATAAGACCTATTTCACCAGTAAATCCTTGCGCATCACATGACTCGACTCCATTTTCAGACTGTGGCACAGCGTTCGATTTCCATCGTACATTACCTCATCTGTTCCTGGTGGCCACGGAAGAGGGAATGGTTTACAAATGCAGCAAAGCCTACAGTTCACAATATTTGGGAAGCTATGAAGCTCACCACATGTCGGTCTACCGAGTTGCTTGGAATCATTTCCACCCGGACATCTTCATCACATGCTCGGCTGACTGGACGGTAAAAATATGGGACCATAACAAAAAGTAGGTGCATAAATTATGCTCTATGTAGCAAAATGGTACCCAGATGCATGGCATAATGTAGTTCCTTCTAGATGAAAATAATCCATATCAAATGTTTCCCAACTAATCTACCACTTAAGTAAACAGTGCTTCCTCTACACAATCCGAAATTGTGCGACAAGGTCGCTAACTACCTTCAGTTGACCGAAGTGTGAAACTAAGCTTGTATTTAAAACTCTACGGGAACAGCAAGTCCTCATTTGCGTATCAATGGTAAATAGCCCATGTCAATCCTTCGGAGAATAATGTAGATACCCTTTGGATGATTCTAATTCTGGATCATTTCATACTGAAAACTTTGGGATTATGTACGTAGCAATTAGAGTGCCCCCGGGCTTTGGCGAACTACACTCACTTGCAAACAAATTTAGTTTTTCGAGACACTCACCCGGAACCCAGATGAATCACTTGTTTATGATTTTTTTAAGTAACTGAATGTGCTACACCAGGTCAACTCATGTTTTACTCGTTCATCATCATCATCATTGTTAGCTGTAATAACCGCGTACTCGTCATACAGTGGTTGTGGCTGCCGCAGTTTCGTTCACCGATGATTTGGGGGTGGGGTAGGTAGTTGCGCATTGCAGGCGGGAGCTGATAAATTGGCGCATGGATCCAGCACTGTCAGCGGGTTGTCGAGTGGGGTGTGTGGAAAAGGAGCTATGCATTGAAGGCTTGGATGCACGAACGCCATTGAGGCGCGACTGGGCCATTTCTGACAATGTCTCTAGCCATTGATGTGGCCTGTCTCGGGGTCCCCATCCTGGAAGACGGCAGTGACCAGCGCAGCTGATATTGCTGGTACTGGCTTTCATACTTCGCTGCCAAGTCATTGTTTGACCGCCTCGTTACGATATTCGAGATATCGTGACACATGTATGGATGTGATACAATACTCATAAGGTTGTCTGGGTTTTATTAGCCTCAAAAGTGACTCACACACACCTAAAAATAACTATTTGGATATTCCACTTGAACGTATATGTATTTGAGAAATCGCAGCACAGATGGAGGCTTGGTTCTGTAAAACGCGTTCCGAATGTGTTGATATGTCAGCGGTTTATGTTGGAGAATATTCATCTCCGTAGATGTAATTAAATTGCACAAGCGTATCAGGGTTTTCAAACATAATTCGCTAATGAATATTTTGGCTTGGCTTGTCACTGTGTTTTTCAGGGATCCTGTCTTTATGTACGATCTCGGTTCCCCTGTTGGTGACGTCGCCTGGGCACCCTACTCATCCACCGTCTTTGCCGCTGTCACAGCAGACGGTCGTGTCCATGTGTACGATTTGTCTGTAAACAAATACGAACCTTTATGCAACCAGTTAGTTACGGCCAAGAAGAAGACAAAGCTGACCCATTTGGCATTCAACCCAAAATACAGTATTATCATTGTTGGCGACGATCGGTGAGTTTTGTTGATTTTCCCCGACGTCACGATAATCATCATCTTGTTCTCCCACTGTGAAAATCTTTTATTTTTCATTACCTAGTGGTCAAGTCATAAGCCTGAAGCTTTCACCAAACCTGAGAAAGAAGCCGAAAGTGAGTTGCTCTTCATTTCCTAAACATGGTCTAGATGTATTACCTTCGTTCATCTGAATGCTCTCTACCTTATTTTGCCTGCAGGTCCTTGAGTCTACGCATGCAGGTATGAATGTCAAAAAGCATTCACTTTTAGGAAGGTTAGGGTAGCTTGGTAGCTACATACCAATTCAGCGTATAAAACACTTCGTGTAAAGAACTGGAATTCTAACGGAAATATTCAAATTAATTGTTGCAATGTGAGGACAGTTTTGAAGTTTGTATTGAGTTTTCATCGTGTCAGTAGGGGCATTCTGTGCTGAAAAGCTGGGAAGCAGTTAACGTCTGTTCCATCCTTATTGGAAATCATTGGTAGTGTGCATCCCACGAAACTCGTAAAGTTTCGAACCCTTAGCCTCCTATCTAGCAGTTTGGCCGCCCAACCGGCCGACCACAAAAAACTGACCAACAATCTAATTACCTCGCGCGTAGCAGAATATCCCACCGCTCATTCTTCATTGACGGAAACCAGATCACGCGGACATGTGTTGGCTGGTTCCTTGGGTGCTGCTTGTCACCCTGCTAATCAGATGCTCCTGGTCGAACGGTTAAGTGTTGAACCTACCAAGAAACTCGTTGAAGTCACATTAATAACAGTCACGAAGTGAAACCCAGAGAGGTTAAGTGCAGAGATCATGACCAATGGACAAAGTCAGTAGATGAATCCAAGATCACAGGTCAAGCCGTCACCGACCAATCAGAACACAGTGCAACGGATAACCAATATAACCGCCCAATTGCACAGCCAATCGTGTTATGACCTCCTGCTAGCTGCAGACAAATTCATCACTATCATCATCATCATCATCATCATCATTCATTGACAGAATCCCTGAGGTCACACATTTTTAGCAGGGCCATCGCAAATTTACGATAGGTTCCATATACCGGAGAGTCAATTAACCTGAGTCCGTGAATCAACAGGGTATTCAAGAGAATTCTATTTAAATCAGATGTTACTTACCTGAGTCTATCAATGAGGATTAGAGAGTCCATCACATATCGAGATATTCAAAGAAGTGTTGGGATAATTTGGTATCTGTTTTGGTAAACGAACCGCTAAGCTTGGGAAAATTCATGCATCAGTGTTAAATGCTAGTGGTGCGTTGTTGGTGATGAGATGAAGGGAAATGTAAATTGCAACAGAAGAAAGATAGACGCTTAGCTTCTGTTAGACGTGGAGTGAATAACCGAAATTATTCCAAAAAAGAACACCAAGATATGTTACTGTGGAATGACTGAATACAGTCGGTGCCGGTCGAAATTACTTATGACTGGAACGAACAGTTCAAATTGACCAAGTTAAGGTATTGATTTACTGGTCCTGTCGTTTGTGTAAATGTTGTTTTGAATATCGTCCAACTCCCCTTCCCCTAACAAGCTTACTAGGTAAATTTATATCACAGCACAATTCACCATAATATTTCTGGTTATTTCACAGGAAAAGAAAGGCCTGGATCAGCCTAAAGGGCCAGAAATGGAAATTCGCAAGCTGGAGAAGATCTTAAGTTTGGTCGGTTAGATGGCCCGGTTTGTGTGTGTGTGTGTGTGTGTGAAGAACCAGTTTGGAATGCAACGTCGAACATCACTCAAACCGAATGGCCTAACATAAATACATGCTTAGCTAAGAAAAGCCTTCTGTTAGCGCGTCCATGGTGGGTGCCAGATTACTAGAATTCGTGGTGTGGAGTGCTCTTCAAGACAACATGTTGACTTCGACCCACATATTACCCTTCATCTGCAACTGGTATATGTGGAACTTGAAGAATGGTTGTTCTGTAACACAAGATGCTCCTTTCTTTTAACTACCCCCAAAACTTGGCCACATACAGCCCCGTCATAGAAACGGTGCCCAATTTCGAGACTAGGCCAAAGGCAGAAAGTCAGTCTGTGTTCTAGAAGGCCTATTCAGCCGAAGGCTTATACCTTTTTTGGGCCTGATAGAGTGGATCTGGTTGGATTTACAGTATGAGTCGGAGTTATACGCTATAAGCCTGAGAGAATGATTTCAGGTTGTCCTGTCTCCAGCAATTGAGTGATCCTGTTATGTACTTTTATTTAAACTACCAAAGCCTTTGTCATTTCTGTGACTGAACTCTGTTCCGCACTTCTGCGGTTGCGGGTAGAGTAAAACGTTTTATCATTCCGCGGTTGCAATGTGATATTCGGATTGATCAAGGGTACCCAGCGTTCTGGATGATTGATTCACAGGTAGAAAATGAACCACTCAGTAACCATCGCTGTAAAACTCCTGAGCAGGTTTTGGATGGCTGAATGTGTTTTGTCCAAGCATGATATTGCCTGCATAGCGTAGCGACTAGTGTATGCTCAGGTAGTCTATGCAACTAGAGGACCTCCATACTTACCTGATTAGCTAACAATTCCCCGGTTCGGTGTGCTCATCTGCCAGATAATAGGAGCAGATATTTTTGAAAATAATTCACTGACGTACAGTCTTGATTTCACCTTCCTAGATCTTTACCACAATACTTGCTGCTCATTTATAACGACTGCATGACAACCGAGATGGGCAAAGGTGTTCGCTCCCTATGCAAAACCACTAGCGCGTTATACATTCGTCATCGGATTCGAAAATAACAGCCTAATAACATCAAAATATAGCGTAAAGAGTCAGATGTCCAGATGGGCGCTCCACATGAGTTCTAGAACGTTTCACCGAAAGTCGTATTTTCACCAACATTGTAATCTTCTTCGGATGGAACAGAAAAAGTTCCTGTATTAGCACTGTAAATTTAATCTTTAAACACATAAGGTCTGCCCTAATTGCATGCATCTTGCAAATAAGTTTATCAGACTGGCCCCACTCACCGGTTCACAATCAACTGGTATACTTTCGTGAACGTTCTGTCAACACTTTTAAGGCGAACCTGTTTTTCTTAGTATTGTGACTATCCTAGTTCCTTGTAGCTCAGCCACGTAAAACTATGGTCACTGATTCGTATAACTCATGAACAAGTTCTGGGTGTTACATGGAGAATATAAGCATCCGGAATGAAGATTCTCTCCAAACATATATACTTCTTTGCTCAGAATAATGGTTCAAGCTCCCGTCGCCTAACGTGCCACTATAAGACGTTCGTTGTTAGTGCGCAATACTCTTTCAATAGAATGATCGCTGCGCGGTCTTTGTTAGTCGTTGTTCACCAAGTCTGACAATCAGTTAGCTAGCGCCTAATCAGCTATCAGGCTAACGTCGTCAGCGTGTGGTCACTTGTGCATTTTAGGCTTTCCTGGTCACACTCACATCCGTCAAAGTAACAAACAGCCTGCGAGCACATTGACCATATGTATTCGGCAATGAAGAAAATTTTCACTCCAAGACCAATAAGCCATAAACGCTTTCAGGCTATCAGTGATTCGAAATATCACGAATGATGTTAACGACTACTATAATTATAATCCCAGCTGAACAAAAATTCACTCGTATACGATATTACTGAACCTCATGGCCAGTTTCCTGCCTAACCGTATTTGTCATTCGGATTTTGCTTAATCCAGTCTTTTTACCAGCTGAAGTGTGCTTGATAGGATATATGGGACAGAGTTTTTAATTCAATAACAACAGCTATTTGTATCATCCAGTGTCCACTGGAGCTTGGCGGACTAAATCTCTGGGTGCGTTTACCAATTGCTAAGGCTCTCAAAGCGAAGAAAGGCTGTGCGAGCCTGGTCAATGAGTGTCCGAGGCTATATCACGCGAGTCACACTTCCCAGTCGATAAAGAATGAATAAATTCCCGTGGTGAGGAATACCAGGTTATAACCTGTTCTGATAGAATAAATTAATTGCACCTACATTCTCAATCATGGTTTCGGGTAAGAGAATAAATCGTTACGTAAGATAGCTGATCTTTTCCACATTAATCATTTAGGCGGAAATCGAAAAATGTCATGCAGATAATGTCAGTTGAACGAAGCTACCTTCGCTGACGTTATGATGGGCCATCGTATGCTGAATTCAAACAAACGCAAAAATGTGTGGGAAATCTGTTTTAAACCGGTGATTTGTTACCTTCCTGTAGCGCCCATGCTTATTGTGGTTGCACCTAACGGAACATTTTTTCACAAAAATGTTGTCTAATATCGGTCCACGACCTTACAAGTCAGCAATGTTACTACTCTGAATCAAACCGATTACGGCAACAAACACATTTTATGTGGTTGGGTCTGCCAGAACAAATGAGTATAGTGGAATAGCTAGCGGTAAAAGCTACGGCTCTACTGAAGATACTAAAGTTCTTAGCTTTGCTCCATATCACTTCTAAATTTAGTCTTCGTTTTAGATTGGGTGGTCTATCCACTCTTATTCTCAACACCACAGTCAAAAGTAAAGTTGAGCTTGATGATGACAACAGGACTTGAAACTTTTCGCCTACTGTTTTTAAGGACACCTCACTAGTACAAGCATTGTTCATTATGAAGGCCTCATGAATAAAGCTACGGACAAGGTAAACAGCACGGTTCCCCCGGTCCTTTACACACTTCGGCGTGGATAGTGGTAACGACTGATGGAATCTTTCGAAGGGCTGTCAGCGGTGATTTTTCTGCTCGTTTCATACGCATTTGTCTTCACATAAGTAGTTTTTGTTGGTTACTTAGTAATTTCGGATCCCCCCTCATGTCTGCAGTAAATTCTATCGTTGTGTGAGTACGGCAAATCGGGAGGGTTTAGCAGATGATGCAACTTTCCATTGAAATTAAACCGAAACTAAATCCCTTATTGGCCGCTCAGAGATGCATCAGGGTGAGCAACTGTGAACAAAGATAGGAAAGTTAAAAATTATAGATGAAAACTGATGAAAGTGGAAACGAGTTTTAAATATCATGAATTTCACTAGACAACCGTGATACGGTATTAAGTTATTGTGAACGAGAGGGTCACACAATTCTGTCGGCCACGATGTTCTTTCACTTAATATGCCGCCTAATGTCCGTGCCCACATTTAAGAGGTTGAAACATTTTTCTTCACAGGACATCACTTCTAAGATCTGCGAAAACATGCTGACAGCAGACTGTCTTCCTTCTCTTACTGGGGGCGTAGACCGTGATTTCACCCGATTCATCACACAATGCAGTTTGTTTGTTCGACAGAAAAACCCCAAAACTCTGGCTATCTTCTCAGCCCCGCTCGTTTGGACATGAGCCTTATTTAGTGGGTATTTCTAGCTTAGACTGAGGTTAGCGTTCCATGTATATCATTCAGAAATATATAGAAAAACATTTCCAGCCGTGTAGACACGACACTCCCATCAATCTCCTTTGATTTGAATGTGGACTGTAGGAATCGATTTGTCGGCGTCAGAACACAATGCTTGCATCATTTGCCTAGAAAGTGGTGCAACTGTTTTCTCAAGACATATCTTACCGTTAGCTTCGACGGACTCCGATCACTATAGGCCGCTCTTCAAGTTTATACTGCAGGTCAACGTAATAAACTTCTTTCTGTTACCAGAAGTTAAGAAAGCGCAGTTTGGTGATAGGATTTGAAAACGGGCTAATCGTCGTCACAGTTTACAATGGTAGTTGCGTGCACAGAGCCTTGCGTGTCGTTCTTGTCAGGGGGCGGAATACAGCAAGGCCTCTCACATCTACTACCTCTGTGTGGTGGTAACCTCTGCTTAGGCCTGCTGCGTATCATTTGTGACCCTAAGTGCCAGTAACAGTAAAGATAGGTCTGTTCGCAATTCACCTCACCGCACGAAAACACAACACAATTATCGATTATTCATCACCGAATGAGTTTCACTCCAAAACCTACATTATTCTTTATCTGGACACAGAATGTAGCCGTTCCACTCATTAAAAGAGTGTAAAGTTAGCCTGGGTTGCCCACACATTACAGCGATGAGTCGGAAAATTTTCAAGTGTTTGATCACACCAGCTGCATTTTCCTTCATCGATTCGCAAATCTAACACTTGCCTAAAAGGCACTACGTTACACACCGCATGTGAAACAACTACATCTTTTACCCGACCTCATCAACGACGAAATTCGGACAGGTTTAAGACGGCCGCTCTGCCCATACAAACTGTTTTCATTTCGAGCGTTGCGGTAGTCGAAATCCCATGATTGATAAACTCCGTTGGCCCTATCCTCACGAAAACTCACAGAATTCAACTTTTGTGGTTGTTTTTGTTGTCCCGGTTATTTGGTTGAGGTTCCCGACACGAAACTCTGAGTCAGGCCAAGGTATGATGGTCCCGTACTGTTCACACACACAAGTGAGCAAAATTATACAACAAACCTAAACTGTCCACGTTAGTGGTGCCCGCAAGTCTGTCATTGGCCGGTGCATCGCAGCATCACTGTCCATACACTAGATGACGGTGAGCGGAATGTTGGCTCGGTTGTGTGAGTTGCGGTCGTTCGGTTTCGAGGTCAGTCCCGTGAATCTGATTGGCGGTGAAACCATACGGAAATGCCGCCAGGACAACTAGGGGCAGACACAGCAGATGAGCAGCGAACGTGTGGTTCAGTAGGTCAGTGACACGCATAGACACATGCTAGTATACCAGTGTCGGAAGGGGGTGGCCAGGTAAATGACCTGTACGGAGGCCGTGATGGAGTAAAGCCGATGGAGATCAATTAATACGAGGGAATGGATGAATTACCATGAAGCCAAGTTAGACTCAATAGGTTATCCGCATAAAAACCTTCATGTAGAATGAAGATCACAGATACACCCATGAGAAATCCACGGGACGGTCCATGTTTTTCAATCTAACTCCATGCACAGTATGGGAAGTTGAACTGCCGAGGCACATTCATCTGCATACCAATTTGGTTTTTATGGTAGAATCCGTCGTAACCCATCCGATTCTCTCGTTTATGACGTTCCAAGCTAATTTAGTGGATTCGAGTAAAACATAAGGTTGACGGAAACTAGGGGAATGTGCCTACCTGATGAGACACAAGAGGAGCTAAACCGGTTGTGGGCAGTCGACGGATTTTCAGCAACCTTATAAGCAGTGCATTACGTTAATACAAAGTTGAACTATCTTTGGCCCTCAGGTGACGCTTTGTTGTTCTTTGATTTCTGGAAAAGCCTAATTCATAGGATTACGGAAACTGACTTAGTGCTGAATGAATACAATTCTACGCCGGATATTTAATCGGTTTTTAAATTAAAGTTCAACAAGTCAACATAAGGTCTGGTGTGATAGTTGGCAACAACACAACGTATTTGAGAAGAGTTGTAATTGCTCATCGTTTCGGTCACCTCACATGACCTTCATCAGGAGATATGTAATCAAAATCACATGACCAAAAAGGTCACGTGCCAATTGTTACCAGCATTATAACAATTAGCGTTCAATGTGCAACTCTGATTCGGCCGGTTCATATCTAGACGTGTGATATCTATGGCCGTAAAGCGGGTCACGTAGGCGCATTCATGTTGCTCACTCCGGGTAACTCCCCATTCACACAAACTACATACCTAAGCACGAACCAAACTTATCAGAGAGGCGCATAAATTGTTGATTGCCCCAATGTTGATACCAGTTGACAGGTGCGTTCATGTCTTGTGATTTTCATTATTGTCCTCCAGCTGAAAATTGATTGGAGTGACTGAAATAGTCGTAACTTCTACACCAAACTGAGATCTGTTGGGTAAAACGTTAGTTCGCATGCACGGACTGCTACAACCTACAACACGTGTGATGTGAGGAGAGATTGAAAATTATCCATGGACGAATAGCGGTTACGCTCAGGAAAGAATGAATAGACGTGGGAGATATGTCATTTGGAGAAGTAGAGTTGAAAAATATAACAGAAAAACTATTTCTGATAGCCCGATGAACGGACTGATGTATTGGTAATATGACACGAGGTGAAAATTAGGACCCCAACGAGTGAACCTGTGGTGCTTTTTCCGTGATTGTCGGGGTATGGTTTTCTCAAGTTTCATACTTCACGCCTTTCGATACCCACCTTCTTTCGATTCCAGGAAACGAAAACGATCCCACACCAGCTTTTTACCACATGATCCTTGATTTCGACTTAGCAAGGGTGTCTTCTAAAGTGGAAGGTTAACATAGGATGCATAGGCCACCAGGGCTTTAAAAGCATACCTTGATGTAGGCCATCACATACACATAGAATCTCCGCATTTGCAAAAAGCGATCACGATTAAATCAGTTAGCTTCTTCAAAACTCGGTCTTTCAGAGACGTTGCACTTAATACAACAAGATGTTTTCAGTCACCGAAACGCTTCAATTCGAGAAACATCCAAAAATTTGACTTAGTAAAACTCGCTACTTTCCGTGGATGTAACTTCATTTCTCAGCTGCTTTCATCAGTCTCGGTGTCGACAAAAGTTCCTGTCAGCCCCTGTCTTCGCTACGATCTGCTGCACAAAAATCAACCGTTACAGGTGACGCGAATGCCTTCCCAATATGACAACTGCGCAAGCATATTTGGTGAACTCCCGGCACAGGTGAGGGCTAATTCGGTGATTAAAGGTAGATTAGAATTCGAGAAATACGTCCAACTGATGAAACGAAAACAGAGTAAAGCAGCTTGACAACTGTAAATGATGGTCACAAGAGTGAGAAAATTCCTCTAATCTTGGAACCGTAAAAAAGATCAAATGGAAAATGATGGTACCGTGTATCACACATAATTGTGCCCACGCAAAGCCGGTTTATGAAGCGGAACCAACAGTTAACAATATACGGTGATAGGCCAGACACTAGTGCACGTGACCAAATGGCCCAAATCGACATTGTTTGCATTTGTATTGTTGGAGCACTGTCCTGGAAGGTTCGAACAGCTCAGAAATCCAAATACTGAGGCATCTTGAAAAAGAGCCCAATGGACATAATCATGTTAGTTCGTTGTGATGGCTTTGGTCCGCCCTCGCTCGATCCATATCTCCCAGTCCAATTTGTTGGCCTAACTGGCGGTTTGGAAAAAGGACTGCCGCAACTGACCAGCGGATCTTCAAGATAGACTAAACTGCATTTCCTTCCCGCTTGACAGGCACACTACCCGCCGAATTGTTGCTTGGTCCGTCGTAATACTAGGTAAATCATGTTTTATTTCTTTGCTGTCGACTGATTCACTATCAACGACCACAGGAGACATGGGTAATTCATCCCTTCATGAGGGTTTGTTCGACCGTTATCCTTCCTACCTCATGTGTTTTGTAACCGCTGTACTACTTTTTATTGAGTGTCACCGGATTTTGCTTTATTGTACCGTGTTACACTTCACTGTATTGCTACTAATCCATTTAGCTGATTTTACTTATCAGTTCATTTCCGAAGTGAACTCAAACGACATTATGGGTTGCTGGATCACAGCGAAAATGTAGGTAACTACACAGTGGATGTACTAAGGGGAACTGAGTTTTAATTATCGGTGGCCTTAAGCAAGGTATAAATGGTTGTCCTGCGGCTTGTGCGTGCTACACACAATTTGCGCGTGTTTCATACCTGACCTTGAGACTGACTACTGTCTCACGTGTGGCCTGTCGTCCTTGAGTTGCCTGTGTGTCAGTAATTGGGCTGGACCATATGGCAGATAAACCAACACACTGTCAAACTTGTTAACGCGCGAGGGATTTTTCTGAAAAGCCACATTCAGTACAGCACCTCTGCGCACGAACGTCAAGATTTTGCTGAAGAGTATTCACGTTACGAAAGTTGATCCGATACTCGTCAGCTTATGCATGGAGTGCGACGACTAGTTCATTTCATTTCCTCCCATTTCTTAGAGCCGCCCCGGTGCCCCTTGTAGTCGTTTATTGAAACTTTCAGCTGTTTGTTGGCTTTCCCAGTCACAATCGTCACAACAAGTCTTTTAGACAGTTGATACAGTCATCGGGATTGAGCGGGTTTTCGTGCGGAACCGTTGTTTGCAGTGTTACCCATTTGGAATGTGGTGTGAATGTTGCAGGTGGAGGGCACGTAACGGATGTTATCAGATGTGCGCTGCTAGTGGGGAATTTACGCCGCTCCGATTGGTTTAATCCTCAATCTGGTTATTGTATCTGTATTGAGTGACTGAGACTAAGGCGTAGCTTCGATCAAACCGGTTGGATGCCCATGGTTTCTCAGTGGTTGATTTCGGGGAAGCTGTTTCATGAGAGCTTGCACAAATACGCGGCCTTACCACTGGTCATTCCGGTGTGCTAAGCATAAAACGATGCCACGTGACTTTCTGTGACCGTTGTTTTATAGACCAGACTGAATTATACCCAATGCTAGCTAACAATGTGTTTGTGCGCGTCTTTTAAAATAGAATCATTCAGCTGTATCACGATTCCGGCGCCTAGCAACCATGCCACGCGAAGGAAGCACGAGGGCTGGAATACTGCCAGATCGCCCAAGTCTAGACAAGGGAAGTCGAGAGGCAAAGGTCGGGTTCGAACCACTGACCTTCCGGTCAGTAAATTTGCTATCACTTGAGCCATCTGGAGTCTCGTGGTACAGACCACCTATTGCATTCACTGAGTATCTGAATAGTTCAGCATTCCATATTCGACAATCATGAAACACCGATTGGGCATGGTAATGGTTTTAAAATTGTCCCAACTTGTTAACCCTTTTTTCTTAATTCTTCTACTTTATACTGAATGCATGGCGTTCGATAGTGTGCATATGCATCTCAGCACAAAATTCATGTGAAATTATCCCATCTGTGCGGGAATAACCGCCTCAGGTCGACGTAATTAACCAGCTCAGAAACGGCTGACAGCTTACCAATACTGGTTTGACTCGATAAACGCCAATGATTGGGGTTTCATCTATGTATTACGATTACTTAGTCCCGATCGGTACCTTGGAATTTTTGGTTGACCTCTTGGTTTTGATACAAAGGACGGACTGACTGAGCCCAAACTAAAATTCTGTGCAGGGAACGAGTCAGATGAGTGCTGTGCTTGGCTGGGAACACCGTCCCACTAATTACCTTGGTGTTATGTTTTATCCGGTTTTTCTGTTGTGTTTGAAACTCTAGACGCCTCAACGATTTCTTTCAGGCTGGATCTAGGGATCCCTTTCCGGCCCGTTTTGTTGTCTCCACAAGTATGATAACATTCGGACGACATATTTAGATATGAAAATCAATGTCACAGACCAGGTCGAACCAGTGAGTAAACATATGGTGGTGCGCAGTTTCCTGAGAGTCAATTCATGTCACATCGAAGTTTAACCGTTCAAAACCAACGTTCGGTGATGTACGACCAGTGACCCGGCCTGAGAAGACGTTATCCGAAAGTGAGAAAACGCATATTTCGACTCACAAGACATTTAAATCAAGCGAAACATACAAAGCTGTACACGCGCTGGTAAAGAGGGGATTCAAAGCAAATAAGATGGAAATGCAATGGGAAAGGGTTAAAGCAGGACGTGAAAAAATAAACGAAATCAATAGTCGAAGTTTCAAATTAACCTTCCAACATGGGTCCGTGAGTATCGCAGCACACAAGGTTGCCAGAATAACAGGAGGATGTACAACACACAGTTAGGTGATAAGGATGTCACTGAGTGCATTCGTGGCAGGATAAATGAGTGATACGGGAAATGAAAGCCCGACATGATCAAATGTTCCCACATCCTTTAGTGGGCTACGGGACAGACTCGCCCATCTAGGAATGTGCAAACAAAGTGGAATGCAATCGAACAACTAGCAACTGAATAACGCCGACCAGACAGGAGTGGACACACATTTTCATCTGCTAAGACGCCTTTGTATTTGCTCCATGTAATCAGGCAAGGCCATTGAAGAAACAAAATCGACGGACAGGTAGTCATGACAAGCAAACTTCCACGTCCACAACTGGGCAAGCTCTTCGAACCTAGCTCTATCCTGTGTGTACAGGGTTCCAATGACTGGCTCCATACAAACCATGGTGTATGGATCAGTAAGAAGTGACTGTAAGCTGATTAGTAGTTTTTCCAATGTGAGAGCTAAACTCCAGTTATGCTGAATACAATCCATGCCAACGTCACCATGGAGACTGATATTTGGGTGCAGAATTCGAGTGAGGAATCGGATCACAGGTGGACGGATGGGGTAGCTATCAGGGACAAGAATGTGAACATGAAATAGACCGCCCTGGTAAGGAGACTGGGGAGGACCCTCAATCCCAGCCAGACAATGCGAGTAGGTGTCCTTATCCAGGGCTAATACACGGATTCCAAAAGGAGGATCTGTGCACAGATTTTTAATCTCATGCACAATTCGACGAAAGCGTAAGTTGGGTGCTTCCACTGGGAACAGTACAGGAAATCGCAACCGTTCTAGACAAAACCGACAAGTGACACTTTCCATTAAGTTCAAGTACAGCTGCCTCCAACTAGTGACCCGATGTTGTGGTGTGAAAAGGGGCCATCGAACGTGTACAAACTCACACCACTCTTGATCTGAGACCTCTTCATCTATGATTTGACGACATCTGCGGGAAACTTGGCGCATCGTCCACAGAGAGATATCGTCGAGCAAACCAAATATATGCAGTAATATTTCTGTGGGGAGATCATCCAAAGAAGGATAACGCTGTGGATGCTTTGTGGATCGTTTGTGATAACACATGGGAAGAAAACTGGGCGAGTTGAGAAACTGGTGTTGCTGTTGTGATTTTTGCTGCTGACGAAGAGGACATGGGCGCTGTAACACATGGGATTGTGGCAAGCCAACGTTCTCGACATCCACCAAATGCATATTCATGCCACCGTTCGTGGATGATGGGAATTCCACTGACTCGGACGCATCATACCAGTCTGTGGTTGAATAGAAGTCCGAACCGCGCTCAGGTTCCTCATTACCACTGTCATTGGACGCCTCCTTCTTGTCCAACATTAAGCTTTCCGTCATTGAGGTAGAACAGAATTCATAAACGAATGCGTGACATGTAGAGCAAACAGGCTGTTCGCTTCCAAAATCGTAGTAGCCATTGCAAAACTTGCAGATTACACGCTAGAAAGAAAAACGGAAGAAGGAAAGGAAATAAACAATTGTGCGAACAGATATAGTCAAGTACGAAGTCAATTCCTCAGCTATTATATATATATATATATACCATATATATCTATACACCATACGAACGAATAATACAGTGCACACTCGAAATTTCGATAGCAATCCAATGATGGACTGAAGCTAGGGAGTAACCATTTTGATCCATCGTTAAAACACCTATATTACAACGAACACTTGTTAAGACGGTCTCTAACGTCCATGGACACCGACACCAAGTACAAGTGAGTGAAAGCCCTTTGGGAAGCCGCTAGTTTACAAACACCACCTGAGACTCTCGTTAGGCTCCAAACCTGTGCGTGACTTCAATGTACACTCTGTTGTGGACGTTCTTCACGTTGAGGGACAATTGTCGTATCAAGACTGCTTGAATCTGCATTAAGCTCTACCCAATTATACTAAGTGTTCGACGAGTGATGACAATAATGTGCACAATGTATGTCACCATCAAGCAATAGCCTGGTTCAATTTTCAGTAGTATAATGATCTCCAAAGAGTGAAGTCATGATTGCATAACTTTATCGGTAGACCTCAAGAAAGATCACTCTCAGATGGGAACGACCGTTAATCTATTTGTTCGGCCCATGGAGCTTGTTTCCCACACTCCACCCCAAAAAAAGGCGAATTCACACGACGGGTCGATCTGAGGACACATGTGAAATTGTCCTTTTAAACGGTCATAACTTTAAAACGGGCCATTTCTGATCGGTCTTTTTGAATGGCTTTTCTGGGACAAGAGAGTGCAGTAAATTCGTCCCAGCTGTGAACACTATTAGAGATCATCACTTTCGACACTTGATATCTTCTAGGAGACACCTAACCACGCGAACAATTCACAAGGAACCGACCACAACTGGTCTCATCAGAAAGGTTGTCTTTAACAGGAGGATAATTGTAGCGGTTTCATCACATACGGACGAAATTCTGTTCTTGTTATCAACCCCATAACTTAAGCCACGCGTCATTGCATTATTCTGCAAGACGCTGATGATACGCATCTTCATTTACTGTAGTGGATCTGTGAATCATAGTTCCTAAACGGGTGTACACAAACCGCGACTTAGTCTTTGCTGCTGGCGGAATTTTGCTGTTATCCATTTGTCACTAGGTACTTTAGTGTGCACTACCATGCTCTCCGTAGTTTACGCTAATTGTTCGTTCGGATTAGTCTTTCTTAAGACTTTCATGACTGTACGGTGCCCATGCATGGTGTAAACCAGTCAACGGTAACTGGCCAAACTTGTGGTGTGTTGACAACACCCTCCGGCTATCTGTTGCATTACGGCACTGGATCATCCAAACAAATCTCCTGGTGTGTAGTCAGACCCTCACCTGGCATGGTTTTATGACTTCCCTGTTTATATTCTAAGTTGGCAAGTTCACTAAGTAATCAACCCATGTCATGCGAATTTCTACAGAACTTGTAACGTGTGCGTTGGCGTTTAAAAATATATCAAATTCCAAAAGCCTTAAAATGAATGCCAGCATCGCTGTACGGTAAAAATACGTTGTCAGAGTGTGTGGAATACTTGAAGTGTGCATTAATGCCCTCTCTGGACAACCGGCAACAGACAATGCACGCGATACACGGGATACTATTTTAGGCCTATTTGGTGGTTTTTCTTAGAAAGGATCACAAACCACATCCTGCCGTTCGGGGGATTAATTTTATGAACTCTCTAAGGGAGTAGCTTCTATTGAGGCTGGAAGGTTCATTTGAACGCATGTGTAGTAATTAGCCCCACTGCTTTTAAGATTTTTTAACAATTCTGCTGTTCATGCGTTGTAAATAAAATGAGGGGTGAAGTTGTTGTGCGTTGAGGAACGGGAAAGCTTGGGAACCGGTGGACTACGCACAAAATTTCTCTACAAATGGAACGTCGCTGCACTTTTCCAGCAAGGCTCGACTCTTCGTTGGTGTGTGGCTCCTCAAGTTCCCACATCCCGGTATGCTAGTAAAATTTATCCCGATGTATCTATTTAGTCACGGGGGGCGGGGGAAGGCCACTGTGCCCTCTTTAGCGGAGTGACCTCTCTTTGATGACGTTTATTTTCGAGGGATTACAGTAGCATTTCAGGTTCGTGTGACCGAAAGCCATGTTTGGAAACACGGGCTACATTGAGAACAGACAAGCGAGCAGCTGTGTGTGGTGCTTCATTCTGATGGATGTTCGGTATCCTCAATTTTGGCCGGTAGACCATCTTTCTTATAATACCCTGTATATGAAGGCTGGACGATAGTGTTAATCGCTCTTTTCTGTAAACAGGGATATTCTTAACACGTACGGTCTTGTGATTGTTTTTTCTTACCTGGAATGACCTTTGAACAATTCACTCGAGTAGACCTGATTAAATATGTCGGCAAATTTGTTTCTTGACCCGTTGCATCTTCTCGGTCCGATAGTTCACACTAGAGACAACATTAGCTCATCTATTAGTCTCCTACCACAAAAGCAACCTACGACATGATTACTGGAATGGCAGTCCTGTACTGGTAAATTCTCGCATGAACGAACTCTCCGAGTGTCTATTGATGTGTTTATTCTCTAACATTAACTGTCCCAAATTTATCAGACTGCTTTCATTTCCCATATTAATTTAGGCTCTGAACAGAGTCAATATTCTGGAAACTACGGAGACTCAACAAATAACTACACAAGTTGATGTGTAAACTTGTATATTATGGTGTTTTTGGTTGTCTGGTTTTGCTGCCGTCATATTTTCTGATTTACTTAACAACGACTTTCGTCTCTTTAATCGAGGCCTGAAACCCAGTTCACGAACGAGTCTTGTCTTCATCCATGCGTTTACAATGCTTACTAGATCGGTTTGTTTATTATCTTCCCCATGTATATTCATTGACGTGTCTCATCTTCGCTCAATTTATCAAGCAAAGTACTGCCTTCAAACATGCATGCCAATACTTCGCTGCAAAAAAAAACTGGTTTACTCTTTAGGTGAATACCCCAAAGTCTGGGACCTTCAATACTCCATTCCAGACAGTCTTCGCATTTGGTGCTTTTTCCACCCTAATCGGCAATTACTTAACATTTACCATTCTTTCTAGGCAGCTACACCAGTAGTCTGCCACATAGACTGGAACTAGTGAACATCTACCAATGTCTGTTTGTTTATCTCCCATTGTATCGGCCCAAAAGAGGGAATAACAAGAACGAAGAGAATACTGGAAGTCAATTTGCTATCGTAGTACATAGTTGATCGTTATTGTGTGCACATAAAGTAACTGTTTCCTTAAATCTACATTAAACCGCGTTATATAATTCGTTTTCGAGTTCAGTCGGTTCCGTCACCCAATGGAATGAGTTGGCTTATAGAACGGTAACACGGTCCGAAAATATTCCTCGTTGGTAGCACGCTACCAATAAAATATAGTCCTACGTGAAGCCATTGAACAGGAAATAACCAAAAGATAGAAAAGTTTCCTATAAGAGAGGAGCACTGTATCCGGCTGACGAAGGGTACTTGGTCAACCAGACGCACATGCATTCGTCATGCGGCTATTTTTGCGCAAACGTACCAACAAACGGACATCCTCTCTATCGATGTACGACAAAACGTGCGTCATATCTCGTGTGTAATTATCCATCACTAACCAATAAGAAGACTAATAATTTGCGAAAAAGGTCACAGGACCCAGAAGCTATGATAAACAAAGCAAGGTCACCGTTATTCAGAGTGGGTAGGAAACAACAGTAGTTCAAGAACTGGTAAAAACCTGAGACTTGGACTGAGTGTTCGAGTCGAATGAATGTCGTAAATAACAAGACCCATTTACTGCCAGCCCATGCGTAATAGGGTGCATCTCTCTCGAAGGGGAATCCACCTGACAAAGATTGTCCGTCCATCACAGAAAATGAACGAAAAGGACCGCACACTAGCCATGATGAAACATGCTACTTTGTCTGGAAGTCAGCAACAATAGGCACTTATTGATATAAGTCCAAGCATTTAGGTTCCCGAGGAGCCGGAATGTCCTACGGAAGCTGGGGTCAAAACGTTTTGCCTCCACTGAGTGCAATTCTACGATAGTCTGTCGGACGCTCACCATCATTTGGAAGCTTGAGTTTACTGAGGCACCTGGCACTTTCTCCCACCTGCTGAGCTCATATCTCTATTGTCTGCCTCTCCTATGAAACCGCAAGGAAACAACACCCGGCTCACGTGGACCACACTGACAGAGTGAACGATGTTCCTGTCACCATTGTTTTCGTATCAAAGCGGGGACACATACTAAGTAATTGTATACATTCCACGGCTTCAGATAACAAAAGCTACCAGTCCGTCACTACTACCAGCCCACACTAGTGTCTCTTCCGATGGAAATTTCGTCACCAAAAGTTTGTTGCTTCATACAACCACGCGAAGTTGAGAAATGTGTGAAGAACGCAAAGACTTCACTCCGGATAGTTCTTTAACCCCGCAGATGGTTAAAAAATAGAGTTTGCACTGCACGTGTGTAATACGACCATTTTGTACCCGTTTATTTCAGCTGTCATTTAAACATAGGAGCGCCTGATATACAGCCCCATTTACAGGATAAAGAAGTGTACTTAAAATGTGTACTTTGCCGACGTTTTACGGATCATGAGACCTGAGAAATAACGGGCATAAACTTTGGTTTTTCAAGCTAACAGATACGAGTGTGGAAACATTAGGGTGGTGTTAAAAGAACGTGTGAAAGCTCTGATGGAACATCATGTGACAACAGCGAGCTACATCGAATGTGTGACATACCTAGCTCGAACGACAAGGCAGATGACACTCAGGTACAAAGTACAATATAGGCCCCAACTGGAAAGCATGAATGTCTGGCGAGAAATGCCTGTTGAAGAATGTGGTGGTCATCTAACAGAGTCAAAAAAGTAGGCTGTTTGAAAATATTGACGGGCCAATCGGTACTTTAGATATTAGCGGCTGATTCATTATTATTAGTGAGAGCATGAAGGACCGTCTAAAACGGGCAGTTTAGTAATTTAATTATCAGCTAAATATACTTAAATCTGAATCACTACCATGCTACCAAAACAAATGCATCTACATGACTGAGATTGAAGATACAGTCGGAAGCGCCAGGCTAAACAGATTTTCTTGAGAAAGGCGTAGCCGCTTCGTAAGTAAACTGGTCCAAATGGGAATTGCATCCTGCGAGCCAAATTCAACTTATTCTGAGAAGCGGAGCGCGGTAGGGCTGATTCTTCACTGTCATGAAGAGACAGCAGTCCGGAGAAGGTTGAGAAACTACTGTATACCAGGCTAAACAGATTTTCTTGAGAAAGGCGTAGCCGCTTCGTAAGTAAACTGGTCCAAATGGGAATTGCATCCTGCGAGCCAAATTCAACTTATTCTGAGAAGCGGAGCGCGGTAGGGCTGATTCTTCACTGTCATGAAGGGACAGCAGTCCGGAGAAGGTTGAGGAAACCTTCCGGGATGAAATCCAGCCAAAAATGCTGAATAAATTGGAGACCTTATGATGAACACGGGCAAAGCGTATGACTCATGTGTATTTCATGATGGACTTGAGAAAAGTTGTTTCTATATACTTCCCTTCAAGTCCGCCAAACAGCTACTCTGATTCGAAGAAATCCGATTCTACCCTGCTTCAGCACCTAGTTGGTATACCATTTGAACTCATATTGTGGATGAGCTGCGCCCGACGTAGCACTTCCGGGAGTTTGCACTTGCAGGAATGCCTTTATCAAGTGAGGGCAAGTGAGGACATAAGGAAACAAACTCATAATTTTTACGAAAATAGGGGTTATTCAACGAGACAGATCAGCAGAAATAACATGAATCACTTATACGGATTTCCAAAAATAAGGCCAAGTCGGTCATATGGGTGTGATTCTTCAACTGCGACTCGTATCAAAAACATAGACTCCAAGGAAGAAAGTAGCTTACCTGGTTTGGAACCCATTTACTAGCGTGGTTATTGCTAATCATCCTTATTTTAACGCCTCGAATGCTTTGTAAATAATACATCACAGACCGAATCAAAAGAGAACGATGTACCAGATGAAACAGCTTCCGAAAGCTTGAAGCACGAGACTCTGATGGAAAATGTACACGTCCGGTCTTAGGACGAACGTTTAGGAGAGCAGAACATTGGAAGCATGCCGCAGAAGCACCCCGGTTTAGGTGTCTGAAACATGTGACGCGACAATTTCAACCATCTGTCTCCCTTGGAAGCGCCACCCAGGGATTCGTGATCGCCAATGTTATTCACCTTGCTACTTAATGCTTTCGTGTTTTTTTTCGGGGTCGAAGGTTGATCGAGGGGCCTCAAGGGGAAGATAGTCCTCTGAGGTACGCAGTAAGTCGCCTAACCAGTATAACACATACAGGATAACTAACCCTTCTATTTTCAGTGAGGTTTGCCCAAAACCATATCACATGCGTTTGTGTTATTCCCCCCGATTTTCACCCCAGAGCTGAGTAACGCATATATATCTGGCCCAGTCAGTTTACCTTTGGCTAGCTGACGGCGAAGCAGTGTTCACGCAGAAATGAACTTTTGAAAAGCGAAGCCGTAATGACTAAATAAACTTACCTTTCCTTTATCCATTTCTCACAAACTTGTAGCGTCTACGTAGTAACCAACTGCTTACATGGCCTCCATGAATGAAGCCGTCAGAATGATAATCAAGAGTGACGAACAAGCTGCATTGAGCGAGAACCGAAAAGAAAACAAAAAATTTAGGTGAAAGATATTTCCGAAAGTAGCAAAGGCCAATTCATAAGGATAGCATTCAAGTACAGTTCTGATTTTCCTACAAACGGAAAGCAGACGGCAAGAGCCATGCGCGCCGCGAAGGGTGACGTTCATGCCTCAGAGTGGGTTAACATAGTAAAGTACTTTTCTCATTCATTGGCCTTAGCATAGGGCGGGAAGGCATATGAATGAAAATCAAACTAGGTTTCCCCGTTTGCACCAGATGAGCTAGCATTTTTCTTGTTTTTGCGCAGTTTTGAAAATCCAGTTTTTGGAAGTCCCTAGAACGGATGCATTGGAATGTTCTTCTTAATGTTCGTACTTTGTATTTCCTTAGATTTTTTTGCCAAACAGGACTCGTGATCAACATGACACTTCATTTTCACGGGTAGATGCCTCAGATGTCTCGGAAAGATTCCACTGCCCAATTTATAGGAACCTTACGCAAGTTGGGATATCGGCCTAGCTCAGAATATACTAAAGCTCGTTCTCTCTTGCATAAATACCCTGTTTCACGTTATTAATTCAATATCTGTGGGTTAAATGGTAGCCCAGTTCAATTTCGTCCTCACGCAACTTTTACAATGCTTTACAACCACACCCAAATCTCCGGTTCAGGTGACCTTGCATATACACTTTAGTTCACCACCAACAAACCATATAGCAAAGGTATCTTGGAATCAGTTGATACAGCTTCGGTTATCAATTCAATTAAGCTTTTGGCGCAAAAACAGTGCAATCCAGTGCAGTGGTTTCAGCCACCAGAACCAATTTCACGGAGGATTAAGAAAAACGGAAGCAATCAAGCGCATCCATAGGCACAGTGGTTTCAGCTGCTACAGTTTCGATCACCAGAGAGTGGGAGAGTGTGAGGCATTCAGCCAAGCCATGGAGGCAATGGCATGTTTAGTTAGTTCGAGAACTGGGTAGCCACACAGTGAAGGCGATAGCTTTGATGCACGAGCACCACTGACTGCGAGATTGAGTTATTTTTGCGAGTGTCGTCAACCATTTTGAGTTGAGTTGAGTTGTTTTAGTTTACTGGTTCCTGCTTTCAAACCTCGTTGCCAGGTCATATACTGTCCACCTCCTGTTTGCTTGTACTCAGCACAGGGCTGGTCGAAAATAGCTGTGAGTTAGACGGTTTTCCGGCATGCGGAGTGCATGTGCAAACCAGAATAACCTATGAATCATGATTAATTCATCTACCGTGGGGGAGTTTCCTCTTAGGACCATCTGGCATACCTCAGCATTGCTAATCCGATGCTCCCATCACACCTGACCAATGTTTCCGGAACACACTGGTAAATTACTGACATTTTTCGTACATCCTTTGCGCTTAGAGACCACGAGATGGCTCAGTGGTTAGGGCGCCAAATTACTAGCCGGAAAGTCCGTAGTTTGAACCCTACCTCTTGAATTCTTCGTCTAGGCTTGGGCGACATGGCAGTATCCCAGCCATCGCGCTTCCTGTGGGTGACATGGCAGCTAGGCACCGAAAGGGTTTTACAGCTGAACGACTATCCGTCATCCATAAAGCAGTGTGGATAGCACCGCCGCAGTGTAAACGCTGCCCTTGACAGAGAAACTGACGTCACGTCAGCACCATAGATGTCGGAGGTTGGAGAAAACTGTCGTGGCATCCTCGATTTGAGAAGTAATCTCATCACCAGTCAGTCCGTCGGAACTTATAAGCTGCCAAGGTAAAGAAATTTATCTACCATACCGATTGGTTCGTCTGCAAGCCTGAGGTTTGGATTTGATCCCGCCCATTCCTGTGGCAACGGTTTACACTTTGCAGCTGTGATGCGCATGCCAAGCCGTCCTACGGAGTTATTTAGGTTATTTAAAATGGTTTGCATCTTTGAGGGATCTGAACAAAGGAGAGCAATATCGTTCACATACTCAATGTCTGTAAGTGAGCGTCCTAGGAGCATTTCGACCCCGGAGGTTTCAGAGTCAAACAGAGCGATTTCAAGCAGCCCACCAATGGACGTGATCAACTGATGCAAAAGCTTGCCGTATACTAATATGTGCCCATAAGGGATATAAATTTGGAAAGGACACCTTTGATCGCCAGACGATGGCAAAGTTTCCTACGATCGAGAGTCAAAAGCAGCTTTCAGATCAAAGGAAACGACCAATGTGAGACGTCTGAAGGAGTGGCACTGTCCGAGAAATTGCTTCAAGATAAAGATATGTTCGATGCGCTGCCAGAGCGAAACCCAGCTCGTTTCTGACGAATGTCTCTTTCGATAATTGACCAACCCGCGCAAAATGATGTCACAGAGCACCTTATCTGCTAAGGATACCAGGCTGACTTTCGCATGGCATCTCTGAACCCTTTTTGAAAACTGGGATGACGGTCGAGAAGCTTCAATCCACTAGCATTCTGTTTTCGCTCCAATCTTCCACAGTGTGGTTGGAAGACTGTTCACCAGGACTTTACCACTTTTGAATAGTGCGGGGTGTAGACCTTCCGACCAAGTGTCTTGTCGAGCATGAGGATTGATATCGCATGCGGGAATTCTGTTATTGATAGCGGACTGGTGCTGATGTTCCATTCAGGCCTGTTGGAAGTGAACTGCCGTTCCGTCTTTTTCACATATTGTTTCACTGATACTTGTCTTCTTTTGTCCGGTTGATCGAATCACCTGAAATAGGGTCTGCTTGAAAGCTTTCTACATCTCATGGGCCTTCGAAGTTTACCAGCGTTCTCTCATTCTTCAAGCTCCTGATTATCCAGAAGAATAACAGGCCATCATAGTCGCTAGCTACTGGTGTGGCCTTTTTGACCGCAATAAGATCTGATGATCTTGATGATATCCACCGTTCATTTGGTCGAGTCGGATGGCCTGAACAGCTAGTTCTACAGACTGACAGCGCAGCTTCTATTCAACTGCCAAGCAATCTGCGTCATCCGCATGACGGTGCGTTTCCAGTAGCTCTCTAGTCAGGTCAGTTCGTGTCAAGATTTTCGTCTGCTTATTATTATATTTACCCTACATACTCGTGTTGAACCTTTGTATGTACACTTCAGCTCAACCAGGCTTGTTCTCAGACAAGTAAAACGTCGTTTATCCTCGACAACCCGGACTCTCTCCTAACTCGTTATGGGACGCATTCTAAATATTCGGAACTCCTGAGCCATTAAAACTTGTCCGAGTTGATTAACTAAACTGCATTGCTTTCGCACGCGTAATGCTGACGGAAAGCCAAGTGAGAGCCGGGCCCACACACTCACATGGTCAGAGTTCAGCTACGTACACCAGAAGGAACAACTACCTCTAATTGACTCTCTCTATCGGTGACTGAACCACATGGTCCAGTTGAGTCCATGACTGCCCTCCGGTTGGTAGTCTCCAAGTAACTCGATGTGAAGTTCGTACGTACCAGAGGCAGACGATAATCCACACACAACTGAAGCAGTCTCTTCCCATCATCCATACGCTGAGCATCAAATCCAAAGCTACCACCGTCTTTCTTGCTGACTGAAGCAATCGCGACAAACCTTGATGAAACCCATCTTTCTCAATCTCAAAATTATTATCCGTCGGGGCGTACGCTGATACGATTACCACATCCAACTGCATTGATCTTGAGTGAGTCAGACAACTGCACAGCGCAGAAACGAATGTTTACCGGGAATCAGTCTAGCTAAGTGAAAACTCCCACATTGTAGATGCCATGAACCATTGTGTCAGGATCGCCGGATACCTGAAGAATGATATGTGGAACATTTGAGCTCGTCCTAAGCGGCTTAAGGTGCACGACCGAAGTGAGACATTGTATGCCTGTTTCTGAGACACAACATACATCGACAGATGGAGGAAGTTTCAGCAAGGGATGCCTATTGCCAAATTTGATATAGAGTACGGTCATTCAAGGATGCAATATGGATCATATTTTTTGAAATTAGCGGGTGATCTTCTGGTTTATTTTTCTGGGCGACGGTTTACACATGGAACAGTGGCTTGGAGGTGCAACCATGCCAGGAAGGCCAAAGGGGAGCAGCCAGACCAAGAACAGCGAGACACCGTACTACGAGTAATCGTGCTACGAGGCGGTCTGGGGGTAAAGTCGCACTGTCCTCTGCGACAGGAGTGTGAAGGCAGTAAGGTGTTTCCCCCAGGTGACCAACATGCCCATATTTATGGAAGCAGCGATGCTGCCTTCCCCCGAGGAAGGAGGGGTTAGAAAAGGTCGGCCCCAAAAGCCGCACACTCCGATCGCCCAACGGTTGACCGTGACCGCCGGCGCATTATCCAATACAGTCGAAATACTTTTAAAACCAAAGAGCCAAGTGCTGCTCAAAAGGCACTTGCTGTGAGCAGCCGCATCAGGAATGAGACAGTAATGCCTTATTCCCTGCGCCCTGGGGTAAGCCAACCCCCTGCAGCCGAGCCTGCCCAGCAGGCTCCGGGCAGGGTCCCCAAAGAAAACCCTACGTCCTCCCACTACCTTGTGGGTCAGACTTTTGAGTCAAAGGCTCAAGGTGGGGTATCTCAACCAAACCCTC